AAAGGAGAAAGGCAACAAAGAAAAGGGAACTAAAAAGGTGGGGATGAGGAGAGAAGGGTATGTGGGCAGGGGCAATGGAAAGGATGATGAAGCAGAGTCAGAAGACAGGAATGAATGAGGGGAAGCATGATTGAGCTCTTTCCTAAAATATTGGTCTAGGGGAGTCACTAATCAGGAGAGGAAGAATAATGACAAAATTCATTTGCAGGGAGAAATATTCCAGACTCTTGAATATTAAGTGAGGGGGCAAAAAATAAAGGACTTCATATTACATTCAACAGTAGTAATCATCAAAACTATTTGATGCTAGTTAATTGTTAAAAAGCAGATTAATGAGACAAACTAGACTAGCTATCAGAAGTAATCAATAGCCTCATATTTGATATACTAAGTACAAGACTGCCTGGAGAATAGCTTTTCATTTGACAAAAAGCTCTGGAAAAAGTGAAACTGACAGATTATAGTCTTATACCAACATCTTACATCATACCAGAATAACTTCAAAATACATATACAACACAAATATAAAAAAGACATCCTTAAGAAAAAGAAGTGAATATGGCTTAAAGGAAAATTCTTAATTAAAGGCAAACATACAAGAGAAAATAAAAATTGTTATCATGTAAATTAAAAAAGAAAACTTTTGCGCATATATATACAAATCAGTGCAATTTGGTTCAGAAGAGAAACTGTAAGCTGGAGAAAAAAAAGTCTTCGAATCAGATGTCTGTGATAAAAGCCTGATGTCTAAGATATTTAAGAATCTAACACAAATACAATTCATATTGATTGATTAACATATGGAAGAAAAAAGGACCATTAACCAGGGATCATTGTTCAAAAGATCATGAACAAATTTTAAAAAGTGATTTCTGAATTATCAACATTGAAAAATTTATCCAAATCACCATTAATTAGAAAAATTCAAATAAATACCCCTTTGAGATTTGATTTCATGCATGTTTGGGAAAGGTGGCAAAAGATGGAAACAATTGACATTATAGGGAGACAAAAAGTTAATATGGTCTTGATGAAGATATGAATTGATCTAATGATTTTGGAAGGCATTTTTAATTGTTATGAGTGAATAAAATATCCAAAATCTTTGACCCAGAGATCTTAATGCTAGCAATATACCTCCAAGGAGCTCAAAGACAATAAAAATATTGTAGCAGCAATTCTTTTTTGTCATGGTAAAAATTGGAAAAAAAGCAGGTGCCCATTGATTGGAAAATGGCAAATCAAATTGCAATTCATAAATTCAGTGGAATATTATTCAACTGCAAAATATAATAAAATGCATAATTCAGAGACAGTTGGGAAGATTTGTATGAACTGATGCACACTGGCATAAGCAGAAACAGCAAGAAACAAGTTAGAAAATCGCTGTAATAATATCAACAAAAAGAACACTAAAATGAAGCTATATATCATATAATCTTAATGAAGAAATGAGATAATACAAAATTACCTCCTTTTCTTGGAGAAATGGGATTGAGTGATGCTCAAAATATGCTCTCTCCTCACCTTGGCATCAAGGTGCAATGCTGCTTAAGAACCAAATTCTGCAGGAAGCTTCTCCTGATTCTAATTTTTGCTCAGTGTCTTCCCTCTCAAACTACTTTTTTAAAAAAACAACTTTGCATTTTTAAATTTATTCGCTCTATATTTCTATGTCTATGTCTATATCTATCTATATCTCTACCTATCCATCCATCCATTCATCCATCATCTATCTAATCTATCTATCTATCTAAAGTTATTGTTCAGTTGTGTCCAACTTTTCATGACCCCATTTGAGATTTTCTTGGCAAAGATAGTAGAGGTGTTTGCCGTTTCCTTCTCCAGATCATTTTACAGATGAGAAAACTGAGGCAGATAGGGTTAAGTGACTTGCCCAGGGTCACACAGCTTAGTAAGTATCTGAGGCTATAGTTGAACTCATGAAGAGGAGTCTTCCTGACTCCAGGCCTGGTGCTCTATCTACTGCACTACCTGGATGTGTGTGTGTGTGTGTGTGTGTGTGTGTGCGTGTGTGCGCGCATGCATGCATGTGCATGTGTGTGTGTTGCACACACACATTTATATATCCACATATATATTTATATCTAAACACACATACAAATCCACAAACACATACATGTACATGTGTGTACATAAGTATACATATGTATGTACAAAGTGAAGATACATACTTATCTATATAATTGCTAAATTCCTGTAAGGACCTTGGGAGCAGATACTATTTCATTCTTTGTTCTTCTGTCCCTAGCACTTAGTATATACCTAGCACATATTGAGTGCCTGGCATGTAGTAGGTATTTAATAAATGCTCATTTACTGATTGGTTGAGTGTAGCATGCTTCAGAACTTTCAGACATGTTGGCTATCTCAGGTGATTTTATCTAATTGTTTTTCTTTGTTATAAGAGAAGGCTCCCTGAATGGGTTGTTGGTAGTGTTGTAGTATATCTAGAAATGACTATGACATAAAGGAAAATACATTTAACAATTATTTTAATTGCAAATGAAAAAAAGAATGAGGCAGGTTGGGGTTGTGGAAAGACTGCTCGATCTGGAGTTAAACCAGATGAAACCTGGGTTTTTTAAAGTCTGGCTAAGATACTTATTTTCTACATTATCCTGACCAAGTCTTTTTACCTCTTTGGTTTCAGTTTCTTCATCTGAAAAATGGGAACAATAATGCTTGTAGTAAGTGCTTTAAAGACTGATTGTGAGCATCAAATGAGACAATGCATATGTGCTGATAATTTTACAAGCCTTGAAATGCCATATAAAAACCAACTATTATTAATATTAGATCCTGTGAGCAAAATGAAGTGACCTAACGTGAAGTGTATTAATTTTACTTTGTTTCCTACTGGGACTTCATCTGTGGCAACTGATATCTTCACCCTTTCCTTAGATAGCTGTAGCTTCTTTCATCTCAGAGCTAAAGGTCCATGTCCTCCAACAGATACTGCTTTTTACCTAGTCAAGAAGACGACAAAGAACTCCTTTGGTTGGCAAATGTGGTTCAGAGGTTAGTTTCACACACATATTCTCGGCCCTGATCATGATGTCTTAATCTAACCAATAACAAATGGGCATTAATTTTGCTTATATGGAAGGCTTATGAGATATGTGGTCACTGCTTTCTAACTAAAATATACACATGCAGTGATTCCTTTTTGATTTGAGATTATAGCTTTCTTTAAAGAGTGTTTTGCAATTTAGAACTCTACCTCCATTTAACTGAAACTCTGAATCATCTGTCCAAAGAGTTACTAAACTATCTATACCTTTGACCCAGCAACACCACTACCTGATCTATTTCCAAAGATAATTAGGGAAAAAGAAAAGGAGCATATATCTTCTAAAATGTTTATAGCTGCTTTCTTCGTGGTGGCAAAGAACTGGAAATTGCAGGGATGCCCATCAGTTGGGGAATGGCTGATCGAGTCGTGGTATATGATTGTAATGGAATACCATTGCACCGTAAGAAATGATGAGCTCAATGATCTTAGAAAAACCATGAAAAGACTTGCACAAAATAATGAAGAATGAAATGAGCAGAACAAAGAGATGATTGTATATAGTAACAGCAATATTATTTTAAGAATGACTTTGAGTGAATATGTTATTTTGTCTATTATGAATATCCAAATTAACTATAAGGAGCATATGAAGAAGGATGTCTTATGCATCCAGGGAAAAAACTGATAAGTAGAAGCATGCATAGAATAGTTTTACATATATATATATATATATATATATATATACACACACATACATCCATACATATATATAGTATGCATATATGTATATATATGTATGTATATGTGTGTGTGTGTATATATATATATATATACATATATATATATATGTATATAAACACACATTTTTTGCTCTAATTGGCATCTATAGGGCAGGGTGGGGTGGAAAAGAAAAAAGATTGCATGATAATTTTATCGTATATTTGAAATGAATAGCAAGTTGTGCATAGTACATGTGCATTTTTATGTGCAATCATCTTTTTTATTGTACTATATTAAGGAGATTCTAGTTTTATTCCACAAATGAGAAATAAAATAAAAATAGAATTATTTCTGTCTGTAACACTAGAAACTAAAGAGGGGTCTGTTAGGTGCTAGTATTTCTCAGTGGCCTATAGCTCTGCTGTATTCTGGGCATCTGTAAAATATTTCCTCTATTATTCCACATTGGCTCACTCTTGATTGGAAGCTGAGGTACCCTGCTGTCATTCATATTTGCATGTGCTCAGCTCGTTGGAGGATTGTAATGAAATTGATTATTCAATGCTGTAAGAGTGATTATATTTCAACACTTTATTTCTGGTTGTCTTATCAGACTGTTTCATGCTCAATATTACTAATAGGTGTTGCTGAAACTGATCTAGGAGAAGTGAGATGTGGTATCTGATAAGCCAAGTATAACCATCTCCTCTTTTGAGAAGTTTCACTGGATACTACAATGTTGTAATCTTCCCACTGTTTCCCACAAGCAAAATAGCCTTGGTTCCACATCTTTTTCAGTGTAATCCTTCATCAGACAATGTGCTGATTATATGTTGTGTCTGGGTGAAAAATTTTCGTGGTGCTTTCTGAATAACTTAATTTTCTTTAGATTACTATAATCATTTTATTTTAGAGGTGGGTGACCTTAAAGACCACTTTAATAGACCATAAGCACAAGTTCTCAGAGCTGGAAAGGCACTCTTTAGGAATCTGCTCTACATTTGAAACAAGTGGGTCATTCAGCCTTGACATCCCCAAATCAATAACAACTGATACCAATGGGTTTAAATGAAAATAGCTGATTTTGAGAAAGAAGCTAATTGGGCTATTCCCTTTTGCATTCAGTTTCCTGATGTACATAGAGATCAACATATTACTAAACATAATGACTGATTTTCTAATACATCATTCTTGTCTTTCTCCTCCCTCATCAAAACCTTGGGCCCTGCCTTGGGGACTCTAGGCTCAAATAAGGAAGGAGAACTGTCACTTTATCTTGTTCAGAACCAGGGATCCTAGCTAATCCTCATCCATTTCCTCACTGCCTAAACTCGGGTCATTATGTTTATCTTCCCTCCACTGGAACCTTGGATTCTGCTCCTGCTACACTGGCTCTGGTAAGTGAGTTTTGACATTTTGCCAGGAATCCATCCTCAACTGTTACTTCCTGGCCATTTCCATACCATGCTACCCTATCCCCCTTTCCAGTTCCCTTTTATATGTTGTCTTACTCAATTAGAATGTGAGCTCTTTAGGGTAGGAAAAAGTCCTGATGGCTTATATTTGTATTATCAATACTTAGTAGAGTACCTGGCACATAGTAAGTGTTTAATAAATGCTTTATCAATCCACAGTTTGCTAAAGACCAAGAGGTTGGAGTTGAAATAGCAAAGACACCATATGATTTTTCAGTAAGTCCTTTCAAAAACATAGACACACATATACATACATATATACATTTACATAAACACACTAATTTCTCCATTTATAAAAAGTGAAGACCCTATGAAATTGTGCAAAAGCAGAGTGAAATCTCACGCTATGCCCCCAATACTTTGAAGAGGAGGACCTGAAAGTACATAAAAAGTTGCTATGAAAAAGTTGCTAAAAGGTTCAGATACTACAACTCTGTCATCAAAGCCTTAAATAAATATCTAGTAAAAAACATGAATCTCTTTATATGGTGTAAAAGATCACTAGATTTGGAGTCAAGAGACCTGAGTTTGAGTACTAGTTCTGCCAGTTCCTAGAGACCATAGTTATCAATTAATTATTTTGAGCTTCGGTTTCTTCTTCTCTAAAGCGAGGTAAGATTTCTTGCACCATAATCGGTACTAGACCTTGAGTCATGAGGACCTGGATTCAAATATTAAATTGAATAGTTACTAGCTGTGTAGACATAGGAAAGTTGTTTAATGTTTCTAAGGCTGTTTCCTCATGTCTAAAATCTGGGTTAAAGTTGCCCTTATCTCACAGAGTTTTTGTGAGGATCAAACCAGATAATTTTTGTAAAATGGTCCTATGTAAATGATAGCTATTATTTTTATCTACTTCAGTGGCTTGGTATGAGGAAAGTGCTTTGTGAATTAGATTATGTAAATTAAAAAATGATTTTAACCTTTTCATTTTTTAATAATTACTTCCACATCTATCTCTGTATCTCTCTCTCTCTCTCTCTCTCTATCTATGTGTGTACGTACGTACATTTTGTTTGAAATGCAAAGCAAATTCCTATTCAGTTACATGTTGAACTGGGAGGCCTCTGGGTGCCCTTTCAGCTCTGAGATTCTATGATTATAATCTATTAAGACAGTCTTTATGGTTCCCTCTACCTCTGAAATATGACTATATTAGAGAAAACTGAGTTATTCAGAAAACATCAAGAAAATTTTATGCCCGTCTCAAAGATATGCATATCTTTAAGAAAGTGTTGGTTTAGTAGGCACCATAAAGGTTGCTTAAATGTAGAAATAATCATTAAAAGATGAAAAAAGTTTTAAAATATCTGTTTTAAAAATCTGCGTAATCTCTTGGTTTGGGATTTGTGTCACATGCCAATGTCTCTCTTCAACCATGATCTTCATATGCTGTCCAACTTCTTTAAAATATAGAATGTGACACGCAGCAGGGCCACGTAGAGGAGAAAGTTGAGGACCAAGGAGACCAAGTCCTCACTCATCTTGCTTGAGTTCCTCGGGGCCTAGCTTCGGCCCCATGTTCTTGAGGCAGAACATTCTGAGTTCGATCTGTCAATTACGGACAGCGAAAAAAACATGAAATAGATTGTATTATTTTAACAATTAAATAACATCACCATCCAAAGGTGCTGTCTAAAAATAGCAAAGGGAATGCCAGCTTTACTCAGATATAACAGAAACAAGGGAACGATCAATGTTAATTCTCACAAGTCAAAGAACATCAAAGCAAACAGGTAATGACTCCCCACTTCTCCCTCCAAACAACTGGGAAAATTCATTTTAAAAAGTGTATAAATAGTTTACGTTCTGAAAGACTACTTTGTCACATCATTTCTCTAATTTTCTCTGACCAAGAAGGACACAGTAGCGGAAAAGTCAAGTTAAGATGTATTTATTAAACATTTACTATATTCCAGACACTGTGCTAAGAGTTGAGGATACAAAGAGGGTGAAGGACAGTTTTCACTCTGAAGGAACTCAGTCGAATGGGAAGACAACTTGCAAACAACTATGTATAAATAATATATATGCATGTTAAATTGGAAATAATATGAGAGGGAAGATTAAAGAGGACTGGGAAAAGCTTCTTGGAGAAGAAGAGACTTTAGTTAAGACTTGAAGGAAGCCAGGGAAGCAAGGAGGCAGAGATGAAGAGGCAGAGAATTTTAGGCCTGGAGGACAGCCAGTGAAAATGCCCCAAACTGGACCATAGGTTGTCAGTGTGGAGGTCAATGTCACTGAATCACAAAGTACATGGGTTTCATGAAGGAGTAAAGTGTAAGAATGTTAGAAAGGCAGTCATGGGCCAGATTATGAAGGGCTTTAAAAGCCAAACAAAATTTTATATTTGATCCTAGAGACAACTAAACATTTGAGCTCTTAGCTCAGATCTACTGATGGAACTAAGATATGATGGTTCCAGCTCCAAAGTTGGATATTTTAACCTTCCAACTGTTAGTACTGTAAGTGGATTTGAAACCCCATGTGACCTTGAGCCCAACGACTTTTCATCTGGTTCTTAAAATCAGGACTAACTATATTTTCAGGCATATCTTTTCCAACTTGAAGGACAATATATTAGGGGAAATTAACTGCAAGGCAGCCAAATGGAGTTTTTATTCCAACTCTGTGTTCCTCTGAATCTGTAACTCATCCTCACAATATTCTTGGGAAGTAGACAAGTCCTATACATTTACTCATTAAAAGCTTTACTTGCAACTAGCATCCTTGTACATGGAACAGCTGTGTGGATTCTAAGTCCCACGTATATAGATAAACATTTAAATTCTCCTACCAGGAACCAACTTTGCAGTTTGGCTGGCTTGTTTTTATTTCCACGGCCAGAGTCTCTTTCTTAACCTTTGTGAGCAATGTTAAGCAATGACTTCTATTAAAGGATTAAGCTATCGGAATTTTATTAAGGCACGTGAGCATTCTGAAGCTTTCTCTTCTCTGCACTCTATCATTCCATTTGAAAAATGGTCATATGGATACCCCAAGCCAGAAAAGCAGGAGATAAGTTGGAAGCTGTGCTATGATTTGGTAGACATTGACTGTAATTTGGTCCATATGTTTTTGAAGGAAATAAATAAAAAATAATTATAATGACAACTGATATATAATGCCTTAAGGTTTGGAAAACACTTTATCTACATTATCCCATTTGATCTTGAACCAGTAATATACTTTGATATGAATACTAGTCAGTCAGTTAGTCAATAACCATTTATTAAGCACTTAACTACATTCTGGACACTATGCTAAGTGCTCACTATATAATGAAAGTTCATCTTATTTTTTATAGATAATCTGTCTCTTTGGGAGCCCATACTTGAACGGGGAAGACAACATGCAAATAACTATGTACAAGTAAGCTATATATCAATCAAGCAATAAACATTTATTAATCACCTATTGTGTACCAGTATTGTGCTAAGTTCTACCAATACAAAAGAGGCAAAAGACAGTCTTTGCTTTCAAGGATCTCATAATGTAATGGGGAGACAAAATGTAAAGAAACAAATGCAAAACAAGCTAAGCATAAGATAAACAGAAAAAAAGGTGGTACAATTAAGAAAAGTTGAGAAAGGCTTCCTGTAGAAAGTGGGATTTTAGCTAGGACTTGAAGGAAATCAGAGGAGAGAAGGGAAAGCATTCTGCGCATGAGAGAAAGCCAGTGAAAATGCCTGGAATAATAGGATGGAGCATCCTGCTCAAGGAAAAACCGGGAAACTGGTATTGCCGAGGACAGTTCAGGAAGGAAAAGTGTAAAGTCTAAGAAGTCTGAAAAGGTGTGTGGGGGGACAGCTTATGAATGACATTGAATATTAAACAGAGTACTTTACATCTGATTTCCCCCCCCGCCCCCGCTTTTTGGTAAGGCAATTGGGATTAAGTGACTCGCCCAGGATCACATAGCTAGTAAGTATCATTTGTCTGAGGCTGAGCTCAGTTCCTCCTGACTTCAAGGCCAGAACTCTATCCACTGCGCCATTTAGCTGCCCCCTTTACATCAGAATCTTGATGTGATAGGGAGTTACTGAATTTTATTGAGTAGGGTAGTTACATCTGAACTGTGCTTTACAAAGATGAGTGAAGGGTGGATTGGAGTGGGGAGAGACATGTGGCAGGCAGGCCAGACATCATGCTATTACAATCATTTAGGCAGGAGGTTATGACTGCACCAGAATGGTGGCAGTGTCCCTGGATTAGAGCAGAGTGGGGAAGGGAAAGCATATTCAAAAAATGTTACAAAAATAAAATTGACAGGCCTTGACAACAGGTTATATCTAGATATAATAGACAATAATATGAGAATGACACCCAGCTTTCAAGCTTGAGAGGACAGTAGTACCCTCAACAGTAAAGAAGTTAGGAAAAGAAGTGAATTTTGTGGAAAAGTTCAGGTTTGAATGTGTTCAGTTTAAGATGTCTGTAGGATAATTGGTTCAAGATGTCTAATGCTGGAGATACAAGGCTAGAGGTCAGGAGAGAGATTAGGGCTGGATAAATGGATCTGAGAATAATCTGTATAAAGGTGATAATTGAAATAATGATGGCTTATGAGATCACAAAGCAAAATAATATATAAAGAGATCACAAGAAGGCCAAAGATAGAACTTCAGGTGATACCCATCACATAGGAAAGTGAGAAGGAGCAGTTAGATAGGTTGAAGGAGAAACAGGAAAGATTAGTGTCATGAAAACCCAGTTATTTTTTTAATTTGATATTTATTTGACTTTTAACATTCACTTTAAAAAATCAGTTCAAGGGGCAGCTAGGTGGTGCAATGGATAGAACACTGGCCCTGGAATCAAGAGGACCTGAGTTCAAATCCAGCCTCAGACATACAGTACTTCCTAGCTGTGTGACTCTGGGCAAGTCACTTAGCCCCAACTGCCTCACTAAAAAAAAATTAAAAAAATAAAAAAAATTAGTTCAAATTTTCTCCCTCCCTCCAACTCTTCCTACACACACTGAGAAGACAAGCAATATGATATCAATAAACATACACTCGATCCTCAATGTTCAAGAGTGTTTAACTTTCAAGACTTGGAGCATTTGCATTATTTTATTAATAACCTTATTTCCACTTTCCTTGTTTTCACTTTTGTGTTGACGATCGTGCACAATTTCTGCTATGTGCAATAGAAGGAAAAAAATGGCAGGTGCAATGCATGCAAGTGTGTGGAATGGCTGGTATTCTATTAGGTACCTCACTGGTCTTAGTCACCTTACCATTGTAAAAAAAATCCTTTTCCATTCATTACATATTTTCATTGTTTGCCTTTAAAACTCAAGTTTTGGGTTGTAATTATATTCCCAAAGCATAGTGCAAGTTTTTTGGACTCTAAACCCAAGCATGCAAAGTCAATGATATGACTTATTAAGAAAATAAAGAGGTTAAATGACAACTTGCCTCCTATGTTTCTGTATTCTGAAACCCTTAAGGATCTCAAATGGCATGCACAAAGTAGACAGTGCTGACTGATTATTTCAAGCTGGTGTGTCTTTCATGATTTCCAACACCACCTACCAGCTGTGAAGGACAGAGTCTCCAAGGTGATGTTAAGACCTTGCCAGTCTCAGCATCTTCTGATGGCGGCAACCAAAGTCCCAGTAACCTCTCCCTTGGTTTTCAGAAGGTGGCAAACAGAGTAAGGTTTACATCAATATAGTATATAGTACAATGCCCTCATACTGCCATCTGACATATCGGAAGATAAGATTCAGTTTAAATTTTTTTTTAGTTTTAAGAATTTTATTTACTGTTCAATATTTGTGGTACTGTAGATTTAATTGTCTGAAATCAATGTTTTTCTATGGAGATGTTAGCACAAAAGATCACAGAATTCTAAGGAATTTACTAGTGAGTAAAAATATTTTGCATGTTACCAATTTTATTTTGTGTACTGCGTTTTTTGGGTTATTACATGGTTACTATGTTAGGAAAAGTGTATATTATCAGAATTAATGTTTTGTTATAAAGAATTGTATGTAGAAAAGTACATTTTCAGCAATCTCTAGCAAAAGATTATAGTTTTTGATGGTTGCAGAAACCTAACCCCTTATTTCCCATAGGTTCAATATATCAACATTGGCTTTTTAAAAAACTTTTGTGCCATTTTCTAGCAACATTGGTCCCATGAAAGATGAGAATCGACTTTTTTCCACGTTAGTCATAGCACAAAAAAGAAAGAAAAATAAAGTAAGAAAATCATATTTCAATTTGCACTCAGAGTTCTTCAGTTCTCTCTTTAGAGCTTGAAAGCATTTTTCACCACGAGTCCTTTGGAACTGTCTTGAATCACCGTATTGATCAAAATAGCTGAATCATTCACAATTGATCATGATACAATGTCATTGTATTGTGTACAATATTCTGTTTCTAATTATTTCACCTTAATCAGTTCATATAAGTCTTCCCAGGTTTTTCCAAAGCCATCCCATTCATCATTGTTTTTTTATGGTACAATAGTATTTCATCACAATCATAATCCATACCTTGTTCAGCCATTCCCCAATTCATGATCATTTCTTCAGTTTCCTCATGAAATCTAGAAAGAAGAGGGAATCAAGGAAAGAGGGTAATTGATGGTGTCAGAGGTTGCAAAGAAGTCAGGAAAGATAAGGATTAAAAAAAAAGTCATTATATTTGTCAAAAGATTATTGGTAATTCTGGGAAGAACAGTTTTGGTCGGACTCTGGGAAGAGAAAAATCTTGCCCGAGATCATACAGCAAGTATGTGGTACCACGACAAGATTCAAGTCCAGATATCTCACTTTCCAATGCCCCCTTCTATCTCTAATAATTACAACTGGGGAGCCAATTCAGAAAAAATACTATTCTTGTTGTTGTTGTTGTTGTTGTCATTGTTGCTATTGGGCTAGAAGGCGATAGTCCTACCTCTCCTACTTCTATTGGCATGGTGGAAAGAGTGCCAAATTTCGAGTCAGAGGACCAGAATTCAAATTTCATCTTTGTTAATTACTTCCTGTGGCAAATTACTGGACATTCTGGGCCTCAGTTTTCTCAACTCTAAAATCAGGACAATGGGCTAGATGACTTCTAGCATCCCTTCCAGTTCTAAATGTGTGATTCTACAAAGAATTGTCGTAAACATTGAGAAAGCAAGAAATGTAATATCAAAGTATAATGTTATGGAGATATCTTTAATCCTTATTTACCTTGATTTTCTCATTTGAATTTATCTGCATTATGGTTTTTACTGCAGAAAATAAAATGCAACCAAAAGGGTAGCTAAAAAGTCCATTCATTGGAACTTTCCTTGCCCCACCCTTCTCATGCCCTCTAAGGTGATAAGGATGCTTTCTCAAGATTTTTTTGTGTAAGTTTTTCATATTTGTCTTGAAGAGCTGTGCTCGTCCCTAAATCGTCATGCTTTAGGTAGCAGTTGGAAAAAAAGATGCCCTTTAAAGTTCCTTCCAAGTCTGAGATATTATGATGCCACTATTTTAACCTGAGTAAAAATTTTACATATCTTTTTGTGGGTTTATGAGAATTTTTCACCTTCATAAGGTAGGAACTGAATCAAATCTATTATTTTAATATAATATTCAGTGGTTGTGGAAAATTAAAGCCGTATTTTATTCCATTGAAAGACATGCTTATTCTTGCCTTGGTATAGTACAGCAGATATTTAATTTTCTATTATTTTTATATGCTATCAATTTAAAGAGATTTGTTTTTCCTGGGAAGATACAACTAACATTGCAAGGAAGATTATGAAAAGGAAAATCAAAGTGATCTTAAGTGGTAGTTTAGCCATGTATCAGAAAAATAAAAAGAAAAGTTTTAATCATAAAAAGCTTAGTAGAATAAATGTTCATCAAGATAGTTGTAAGAGACAAGATATCTTATCAACAAATATGTCTTTCCTAAATGTGAGAATCCAAAATGACTTCAGCATGACTGTTGATTTGGGATCTCATGAAACCCCACAGTTAAGTGTGAAATCAGTATTGACGTAAAAAAGCTGTCATTTCCTGGGAAGATCACAGTGCAACTAAGATGCCACCCAGTATCACCATATGAAAAATTGCAATGGCCTGATTATGTGTAGCAGGGCTCTGATGAAATCCAGCTGTTAAGTAACTTTAAAAATAAGTGGCTGCCCAACTGAAGAAAATTGTACAGGATAATTATCAAGTTAGACACCGTAAAATGAACACAGACTTAAACAAGAATGGTTGACTACAAGTGGAACAGCAATTTGAGGCATTTTTAAGCCCTGTCTAATTGTAGCCAGTGGTGAGCTGATTTTAGAGTATATCCTTCCTACTTTGCTCTTTCTCCTTAAAATGAAACTGAAACAAGTTACATTTCTGCTTTTCTTCTCTTAAAGAGATGGC